TAAATCATTGCTACAGAGCACAAGTTTAATAATTGTTTATATTTCAAAACTGGTGTAAAAGCTGTTATAATAGAGTTGTAAAATCAAAAACTTCGTTAGCGGTTTGACGTTTGCCGTAAACGTCAAGCTAAAACTCTCTAATGTATATTCGTTGGAACCGCAAATTTTAAAACACCCGCCACGCGTGCAACGTCGAGCACGCGTGTTGCGTGTAGCACTACTAATCTCGCGCGTGGACAAAATTTCCACAACACAGACCTAAAACTGTAGGGAGCCACCTTAACGCCCGCCAAACGCCCACCTAATTGCAGGTTGAAATGTTTGGAAAATAACAAGATTGTGCTCTTTGTGCACAATATGCACTGTACTATTTAGCCCGCGTGCAGGCCCAAGGGAACTGATAGTGGGCCTGCAAGCAAGGCCCGGTATTTTGTAAAACGCCCCTTTTCATAACACGCCCCATTCGCGCGTCAATTGTCAAAAAAGAACCAATGACAGCTCCCAAATATTAACAAACAAACTCGCATTAAAATGTTGCGGGGTTTTCTCTGCTTATTCAGAACATAAACAATGTGTAAATGGCTGCGTTTTAACTCCAAAAAAGCAAGCAACGCAGTCAGTAATTGCCAAATTTACAAGTGCTCATTTTCAACTAAAGTCGGAACAGGCAAATTAGGACGAATTTCAACAAAAATCCAGTCTCAAACTTCAAATCGTGAGGGAAGTCGTGCGACCACATTAGCATTACTGTAATGTGTACTGCTTCGCTGTCGCCATTGTTATAAATAAATTGTCTCACTTATCAGATCGTGTGTGCAATTCTTGTTGGTGGCGGAAAGTGCGAAATTTATTTCAGTTATTTCATTTGGTAAAGGACTCTACAAAAGAAGAGAGCGTTCAGAGTCCAGATCGTTTTGTTTCAAACGGCAATTTAATACTGTCTTCTGTTTCGCTCTCTCAGCAAAGCCGTGTAAATCGCAAAGTGTTTCGAATAGGCTTACATGCAACTGTCTCTAAATCTTCACAGCGAAAAGCGCTGTTTTCTTCAGTGCAAGAACAGAGTCAAAATCAACCAAAAGATAATTTTCTTGAGGAACATATAACGTATCAAGTCTGTTTGAAATTAATGAAACTCAAGTAAAGGTTACTATAGTTTACCCCAGTCGCAATGTTGCTATTCGAACACCTCACGACAAGCTAAGCAATCCCCATTGGCATACCGCCAAAAACATCTCTTCCTTCAAGTATTAAACAATAAACAGTCTGTTCTTGTTCCATTTATAATCGACAAAAACTATCAATTTTCGAATTTTAAGCTTATCTAGAGCCTTTGTGAGCCTCACTGATCTAATTATAGAATCCAACAGCAAACAGCCAATCAGAATGCCGCGTTCGTGGGCGAACGCGGAAAGTACAAAATACCTGGCCTTGCTTGCAGGCCTACTATCAGTTCCCTTGGGCCTGCACGCGGGCTATGTACTATTAAGTTCAAATAGTTGATATTTTAGTTATTTTTAGTTATTATTGTTGTGCATTTGCTTTTTAAAAAGAAATATTTCATGTTCATAAAGAAATTCCAATTGTTCTTTTAAAATCTTCAGAGATTTATACAAACTTACAAAGGCATAAATTCATCTATTTAGTAAAAATGCTCGAAACGCACATAAATGAGTTCATACATTTGTACTGTGTTGAAAATAACCGAAACCGAACCAAACCGAGGTTTTTCTGTTCCAAAAAAACCGGAACCGAGATAAAATTTTTGGAACCGCACAGCTCTCTTAATAATGTATACACAATTAAAACTGCCTCTACAGCCTAAAAAGAGAAAAAAACAAATATACTTTAGGAGTGTGTGTGTGCATGTACATATATGGTAATTAGTATGCTATTGTTGAGGTGGTCCAAAAGGGGGCACTAAAAGATGATTTATCCAGAATCTGAGTCGTATACAGAGGCCCGAAATCTAGCTCAGCTAAGAATTCTATAAAAGATAAAAAGAGACTTGTCATTTCCCGCATTCTCAAAATTGAGTTACATTTCAAAAGATACAGAAGCGCGGGATCAAATATTCATGCTATGATAATGACATACATATATTTGACAGTCGAAATCTAAACTAAATCCATTCTTCTTAGAACCATATCTACCAACGCTTTAACGAGATTTTACACATCAAGTGGACAAGCTTCTCTGGTAAATTGTCGTTGTCCTCAGTCGAAACGTGCATCCCCCTTTTTGAGAGAATGGTTTATTGGTTTTTGTGGCGATTGGGGGAGGACAGTCGGGACGGTCGCCCCATGCACTCGCCCCCATTTCCTACGCCACTGCATTAGTAAATTTGCCATTTATACATGTGGACTCATCTCGGCATTCTCGTCTTGGCATGTACACTTTTATATGTTACGATCCGCTGCCTTACTCTCGAGTCTCTTCACGCGCCTCTGCAGTCGAACTATGACTAATTTCAACAAATTTATCTTCTAAAAAACATACATCGGAATAAAAATAGCTAAGAAATTAAAATCTAATTCTTTTCTAAATTTTATACTTTAAAATATTTTTGATATAGTTTCGCCTTTTGTCTGCGCATGCCTTCAGGTGGTACGCTGCTTGGCTGAACAATTCGTGCAACCACTGATCTCAAGAGTTGATTGCAGGCAGTCTGCATTGCAGAAAAGGCAGTACGCGTAGCTGGTAACAGAAAAAATATCAAGTACGAGTATCCCATGCAGTTGGTAATATATATATATATATATATATATATATATATATATATATATATATATATATATATATATATATATATATATTTTCGTTTTACCTCAAAAAACTACAACAGTCTGAAACAGACTGTTGTGGTTTTTTGAGGTAAAACGAAAAACTATATATTACGCTCTATCTATATGGTATTGAGCACTGTTTGTGTATCGTAAACCAAAATCTTAAGCTATATATATATATATATATATATATATATATATATAAAGTGCCGCATTTGTCCTGTTTCCTTCAGGTTATAGAATCTGTTACAAAGCTTGCCCGGGATGAACCCATCTTGTGGGGATTGACCGGATGCGAGTAACTGGTGCAAACCGTTTTCAACTATAATAAAATGGCATAGAGTGCTCGAATAGCACGGCAAGTACTTTCTGCATAATGCACTATGAGCTATATATCATGATATTTTTTGTCAAGTGTTTGTTTCACTTACGACATATCACTGTTTAACTCAATTACCTCGTATTCCTTCCACTCGCGAGTTACTAAACTACTGTCACATATAGTTTAGCTGCAGGCCTTGTGACCCTGCATGGACGCTTAAAAGGAAAGAATACACACACACAAGGATTTGAGGAGGCACTTTTTTGGAGGCACTTTATAATCACTCATTTCATATTGAAATTCGAGTACTCTGTGTCATATTTATTATGACATTTATATGGCAACATGAATAAACATGTATAAATAATTGATCACGGCATCACGCGTCACTGTCCCTGAACAAGGTTACCTGTCATGCGCAGTTTAGTCTACTTTTCTCTATAAATATAGGCGTCCTTGCTCGGTGGATCCAGAGTTTATAAGAACGATTGATACTCTGATATGCCTAGAAGCAGGTAACGTAAACGACGCCCGAATACGGCTTCAAACCCGCTGTTCGTTCATGATAAATTATGGAGATTATGTAATGGCTGAGTAAATAAAATCTTAAAATCCTTGTGTGTGTGTATTCTTTCCTTTTAAGCGTCCATGCAGGGTCACAAGGCCTGCAGCTAAACTATATGTGACAGTAGTTTAGTAACTCGCGAGTGGAAGGAATACGAGGTAATTGAGTTAAACAGTGATATGTCGTAAGTGAAACAAACACTTGACAAAAAATACCATGATATATATATATATATATATATATATATATATATATATATATATATATATATATATATATATATATATATATATATATATATATATATATATATATACAAATATAAAACATTTTCAAATATAAAACATTTTCCGTGTTGATATACAGTTATATCAACACGAGTGTAAATTGAGAAAACGAGAAATTGTATGGAAACACAACGCCCGAAGGGCGGAGTGTTTTCATACAATTTCGAGTTTTCCCAACTTCCACGAGTGTTGATATAACTATATATCAATACGGAAAAATGTTTTATATTTTTTTTATAATATAGCAATGTCAAACGCCCGAAGGATAAGAAAAATTTCCGTGTTTACAAGAGGCGGAAAATTTCCCGTGTTGACATTGAGTTATATCAACACGGCTCTTAGCCAATCAGCGTTCAGAATTTACAAATGTTATATTATAAATATATATATATATATATATAGTTGCATTTTTCGCAACTGCTCCTGGTTAGGTCTAAACAGTGCATAGACATTTCCGTTCGACAATTCCATCCACAAGAATAAAACAAAATAGAACCATTTACTATTAATTCTATCGGACGAGCTGCCCAGAATCTCGATTTGTACAAAGACAGGCCTATAGGCAGGGGCAGCTGGCTAAACATAATGCGCTAATACTCCGGCAGGCTGTATACCTAAAAATTCCAGGCTATACGCGATATGTCTACTTAAATCAGTTAATTTGGGTAAATGTAGGATATTTTAGCCCGTATTCATATGGGCGTATGAGACATGGCACATGGGCCGGAAAAAACAACCTTCAGAAAACCTGGAAAAATCAAGAAAATTCGGGCAGATATCAGAAAATATGTTCAATTCAACTTATATCATTACAAACATCTGCCATAGGAATTCGGGAAACCTTTTTCAACCGCCCCCTGGCATCAACTCCGTACACTAATGCCCGTATTTCAACCTATCTTAACAATATAGCCTGTATACGAAAAGCATTACACCAAAAGTAAAATGGTGCATGCACATTCCAATATACCTGAAACCCTGGACAAGCCAGCAAAGACAGATTATCTGTTCCTGGTGAATCTGATCATTACAACAATTATTCCACAGGCATATATAATTTTATTACCCATATAAGAAATTTATTTCACCAATACTTTCTACGTTCTAATTACAACAATAGTTTGACATTTTTCGTTTTGATTTAGAACAACAAATTTTGCGAATCACTTTTAACAACCGAGAGATTTTGATTAAACATTGAAAGAGTTATCAAATCATTTTCGCAACATATATATACTCCTTTGTCATAAACTACTTGTCGGTCTATTCCAACTTTCTAAACCCTTAAATAGCCAGTGTTTACTTTATTGTTTTACATCAGCAGTTAATTATATAGTCATGCATTAAACCCATTAATTAAACGACACAAAAAAAACCCCAGGGATACTTTAAGCGTATCCCAAATTCTGCATTGCCAATGCTCCCTTTTTCACGACACCTTTCCGAGCTGGATCAGATCTACGGCGAAGGTATCGCTTTTTCACATAAGCCAGGACAGCAACCAAAACAACGCCGAGACAACCAAATCCAATCAAGGAACCAACCAGTGTGGTGCTCATCGCCTTCGAGCGAGCTGAAACATGGCATAAAATTGGAGAATTAGTATATCATGTTACGACCCATAGTACATAAATTATGTAGTAAAAACAGGGACATCGCTACTGGGGTGTGTGGGAACTTTTTGAGTTGAAAAGGTTGGTCAAAATGGAAAATATTTGGTGAAAATTGTTGGTCACTTGTTGGTTTTTCAACTCAAAAATTAGTATTTTGGCATGCACGAATTTTTCGCCTTGTAAAAACCACTTAATTTTTCCATCACGAATTTGATCAAGTCAGACCTTTTAGAAGTTGGTCAAAATATTTGCCAAACGTGGTTAAAATATCATGACACTCCCCCTAAACGTCCATGAGTAAAAAATGCACCTCTACATTGTCAACAGAGATTTGAATCGATTTACCGTTACGTGCCAATTCATCCGGGTCAGGTCGCTCTTAAACCAGCGGTTGAAAGTCAGTGTCGCGGTTAAACAGCGGGTATAGAACGCAGTCAATTAGATTATCACTAAGGGAAAGTGATTTATTTCAGGTAAATTTTAAGGAAGGCGCCTAGCAGAGGAAGCGCCCAAAAAAGAGGGACATCTGTACTAACATGCATGGTCAATTAGTAAATCTAATCGGTACCATACTGCTGTGTTTCTTTTCTGCGATTCATGAAAATGAGTAACAGAGAGGAGAGTTTTATAAATTTATACTTGTTCTAAAAAGGAGGATGGCGCTATTAGATTGGAAGTTTATTTCAAAGGACGCCTTAATCGAAAATTTACAGTCTATGGTAGTTAATCTCATGTGCCATTCTTTTATTAAGCATAAACAGGATTATTACTTTTATTATTAGATCTTCTCAACTTTGGAACAGTCTGCCATCTGACTTGAAAGCCAGTAACTATTTTTCTTTGTTTAAATCAAAATTCCTTAATTTCCATCTAACTAAATTAGTTACATACAGTCCCCTGGCAAAATTTGATGACAATGCTTGCCTGTAATTCAATATAATCTACTACTATGATCTGGTTTCTGCACTTCACTTGGTAATATTAGAATGCTGGTTTTAGGGTTTGTAATCCACGTGAGTATATATACATTTTAAGACCTAACCAGGAACGACTGCCAAAAATGCAGCACAAGGTCCTCTGGTAGGAATTGAAACTACGGCCCTGCCATTCCGGTGCAACGCTCTAACCAACTGAGCTACAGAGGCCAGCTGTTGAGCTGTAACCGTAAGTTCATGTACATATTGGTGATCGGGTGTGCGGGTTGTGATAAGGTGGACTTCAATGGTCTGGTTTCTCCACTTCACTTGGTAATATTAGAATATTGTTTTTATGGTTTGTAATCCAAGTGAGTATATATACATTTTAAGACCTAACCAGGAACGACTGCGAAAAATGCAGCACAAGGTCCTCTGGTAGGAATTGAACCTACGGCCCTGCGATTCCGGTGCAGCGCTCTAACCAACTGAGCTACAGAGGCCAGCTGTTGAGCTGTAACCGTAAGTTCAGGTATATATAGGTGATCGGGTGTGCGGGTTGTGATAAGGTGGACTTCACTAATGATCTGTGAAGTGCAGAAACCAGATCATTAAAGTCCACCTTATCACACCAGAAGACCTTGTGCTGCATTTTTCGCAGTCGTTCCTAGTTAGGTCTTTAAATGTATATACAGTATACTCACTTGGATTATAAAGCCTAAAAACAGCATTCTAATCTACTACTAGTCCATTAACTGTAATAATTTTTATTCTACCCTTTCATTGTAAAGGGATCGGATTGGGTGGCAATTGGGACTATAGTCTTACCGTTGTATTGTATTATGTTGTACTCTATTGCATGCATGCATGTATATGTCTTGTAGTAACAGTGTGGCAAATCCATTAAACTAAACCCTTTTCCCCGAACTACTCTCCGAGTGAACGGCGCCAAGCGCCGTTCCGGGCGTAGGCCCGGGCAGAGGGTACTAATTCCTCTCGGCTATTTACCCCCGGGGAAAGGAACGCATTGGCAAAGTCTAAAGTCATGTCATGCGTGTATGGGGGGACAGACTCACTTATCTAAAAAAATGGCAGTTTACCAGTGGGATAAGCAATATTTCAATTTTCAAAGATATATTTTGGAAAATCGTTTTAGGAAAAATCAAGAAAATTCGGGCGTATTTACCAGGTTATATCATTACAATCCTCCACAGATTAATTAAATTTCAAAATTAAATCTGAAAGCTCACAAAATGCAAAATAACATACCTACAGTATATATTTCGGAGATATATTGTTGTAAAGTTATAAAAGTACTAACTAATCTTTCAACAAATTTTGCCATTTTGTACAAAAAATTTTAAATATCGTGTTGTCATGGCAACACTTAACGCCACAATTCGAACCTGCGTTCAGTGTTGGCCAATTACTATTACTGTTTTATTAATGTTTGGAAAATATAAGCGAAGTGTTGGTGCATGCATGTATTTCTAGTATTAAGATACTCACCTCCAGGATTCTTGTCTTTGGACAATTTCTCGTGCATGATTGGACCAAACGACAGAGGATACATACCGGACACATCTGCTGGTCGCTTATCAACATCACGACGCTTACGTCGCGAACATGAAGTACTTCGCCAACAGGTGGAATTGTAGTCATACCTGTGACACACTACAAGATCACAGTGTAGGTAGACAAAGCGATGTTCTGACAGGAAGCGGAATGCCTGCATACTAAAACGCTGATCAGAACTCACTCCGCGTGTGTAATGGCGAATCGTTTCATCTTGGTCGCAACTGAAATAAAACACAAAACAATATGAAACGGCTGGCTCGATTATATTTAACAATAACCTACCCTTAACTTTCAGAAGCGGATTTAACCCAGTGGTATCGCAAATACACTGTTACCGCGCTGACCCTTACTTCCTTATAAACTTGACGTTTCTAATGATTATCATATCTTCATTAGCAATTTTTCTACTCAGCCATCAGCAATGGCCTAAGTTTTGGTCTCAGCCAAGTTCGAAGGCTTACTAGTGAAGAATACGGCCCATGGCTAATCATGCAGCAATCCGAAGAAAAACCCTCAAAACATGCACAGGAGAGAACCAACCACAACTCTACTGTGAGTCATAGCAAGGTTGTCACCAATCAAGTTGACAATAACCTACCATCAACTTACTCCTACCTCCTTGTAAATCTGCAGTATCTCATAGGAGGTGAATAGGTTTTCGGATCGTTGGATTCCGCCGAAAGAATTGTTCGAATTTCGGATTTGGCGAATATTTTACACGGATTTGTGGATCTTATTAATACAGCGGATTGCGAATTTATCTAATATTTTGGCTCGGATTGTGGATTTTGCGTGCAATTTAGTTCGGATCCTGAATTGCGACTTCATAGTAGAGCTTTTAGCGGATCCAAATTTAAACAAGACCATTGTCGGACGGCGCATTTTGCTTCAAACTTGGGCGAATCGGCCGATTTGTATACCCCTATTCACCTCCCCTCCCCTCCTCAAAAATATCATATTTTCATTGAAATTTTTCCACTTACCCATCAGCAATAAAGACGTACTGTGGAGTGTCGTAAGGTCTGTTGGTTGGCGTTGCTCTGCATGTTTCTGCGCGCACCACAAGATTCGAGTTAATGGTGTTGATAGAGTATTGAATGTAAATATTATCTGACAGAGATTTAAACACTGGGTAGTCTTGTGATCTGTATGACTGGAGGTAGTCAAAGTTCTTGAAAACATCCAGTGTAAGAGAGAAATTTCCTTGACCACCTAAAAGAATAACAAGAGTTTGACCAGATGGAACGTACTTCATGATACTTCGTCCCTCCTAATGTCAACATAGCAGAAATGATCTAACAAATTAGCGTTATAAGTTTGTTTAGTTTCAATTTGTTCCTGAAATAACAATAGAACGATAAGGACATTCATTACAGGACCTTTAAAAAACAGTTTAAAAACAATAGAGCTGTTAAGTAAGGAGATGGCTCTTACTGGATCCCTAAGGAGAACAGTTTAGCAAAAGGTGGAGTTATCTAGAACTGTATGTCACATTACCTAAATTCCCAAACACTTTCTGTTTCGCAGGAGCAAAACTAAAAGCTCCAACCGTAAGTTTTCGAGGATAAGTACAAGTCAAGTTTGCTTTGAACAAATAATCTCTGGTAATGACACCAAATCCGCTGCTGTGACCTTCTTCAGAAAGAACGTTGCTAAAGAAGAGAGTTTGATCGGTTTTTGAGAACACTGTTCCACAACCAGTCAGCGGAGTTCTTGCAATGACATGAGTCGCGTTCCACTGGGCCCTACAATTTCGGTCTCGGAGATACAAGCGGTCGACATTCACGTGTTTTGGAAGATCTGCCCGGTCGAATACAGCTGTCATGTAGTCATTGTCGCAGAACACTTGGAAATTGGATGCTTGAAAACAACATCATTGTTAGTATCATCATTATCACCAGCATTATAGCTACCACCACCAGCAGTGTCACATCATCATCACCATCATAATCACCTAGCATCACCATCATCCAGGGGCGGCGCTAACCCTCTTCGAGTGTGGGGATCTTTTGCTGACTGTTGTTTGGTAATTTTGCCGAGTCATTAGCCTATACCATTTGATTTTTGAGGGAGGGGGTTGGAAGATTCAGACTGTGCAAAAATTTTTTTCCGCCCAGGGGAACAAGACAGATACTTTTTTCCTGTAAAAGTGCAGCGCAAGATATTTCCCCCCAATATATTTCGCGGCAGAATATTTTTTTTGCGCTTTCATATAGCTATCGTCAGAGACGTAGCCGGGGTTTTCAGTCAGAGGAGGCAGAGAACTGAATTCCAAGAGGGGCCAAGGAATTTTCACTGTGCTTTATTTTATATGGTTATGTCTTAATGTTCCCCACACTAAAGTGTGCAGGTTGACTTACAAAAAATGTATAACTGCACCAAAACCTAAAACATGTAGGGATAGAGTAGAGTACTCGAAAATGGGGGAGGCACAGTATATGAATGACCTGTAACCTTGGGGGTTCGGGCAGGGCCTTTTTTAAGGATTTTCCCGTGGGGGGGCATTTTTTGAAAACGGACCTTTCTGTGAGGTAATATATTACAGGGAGATAGCAATGGCTGAAGGCCACGTGTGCGCCGAACATACCATGCACGCATTCATGAATGGGGGAGAGGGGTGTACTCCCCCAGAAAATTTTTGAAATTTGAAGCACGGAAATGCCATTTCCTGCATTCTGAGCATCCAAATGCGCTCCAAAATGTACACTAACTATACTTGTATTTGAAATAAAAGAAGGAAAAAACCCACAAAAAGTCAACAAAAATATTGACCATAATTTATCATTACTTATTAGAGGAGGAAACCAATGTCACGTGTGTGGGGTGTACTGCCCCAGAAAATTTTTGAAATTTGAAACACGGAAATGCCATTTCCTGCATTCTGAGCATCCAAATTTGCTCTAAAATTTATGCTAACTATACTTGTATTTGAAATAAAAGAAGGAAAAAATGCACAAAAAGTAAAAAAGAATATTAACCGTAATTTATCATTATACTTATTAGAGGGGGATACCAATGGCCGAAGGCCACGTGTGTGGGGGCATAATCTCCAGAAAATTTTTCAAATTTGAAACCTGGAAATGCTCTTTCCTGCATTCTGAGCAACCAAAAAATAAAAAATTATTAACAATAATTTATCATTACTTAGTGGTAGAAAAACGTAACAATTTAGATTGATTTTGTTAAACAAGGACAAAGGATAAAGCCTAAAACTTACTTTCCGTTTATTTATTTGCTATTCTTCGCTGTTTTGTTGGTATAAATTTAGGAAAAAGGGACTTTTCCTGGGGGGGGGCAAAATGTGATTTCGTGGGGGGGGGGGCACAAGGGGGGACTGGGGGGAAAATGCCCCCCAGCTTATATGTTAAAAAAGGCCCTGTAACAAAGACATCTTAGTGATACAAGATCAAATTAAAATCATGGAAGAATGCTTATTAAAAGATGAAAATATTGCTTCAGCAGTGGGTACTAGTAATATAGATTTAGCTAAAACACTTTCAGCTAAACACTGTTTAAACTTTCACCATAATACCAACAGAAAATGCAAAAGCTTCAAGATAGTCAGGGAGATGGTACAATAAATATGTCTCAAAATGAACAAATTGCAAAAGAAATTAAAGTCGTACGATGTCGATATCCAAATATCTTTTCAATACATGTTTCTTGCGCGTGAAGTTGCCTCGACATTCGTACAGATTCTTTTATGTCAGACATGGAGAAGTCTTCCTTTAATAATAATGTTTATAAATACGAAAATGATGATCCAAATAATCAAATATGCCATTATCGTGAAAAAAAGCCCTTTGGGCAACGCAATCGTCTTTTGCGCACAGGATCTTCCCCAAACAAACCATTTCATAGACAAATCTTTCAATCTCAATGTAACACATCATTGATTTCGTCCATAATACAGTAAAATTATTAATTTACATTCAAACTCTGCATTCAAATAAATTTGCATTGTCGGCCATCTTGAATTCAAAATCTCCCAGGCTCTCTCTTCGCCGCAACCTCCCCAAGAATCCCCGCGCGCCTAGCTCACCCAGAGCTCTGAACGCTATTAATTACTAAAGAGCCTGGGTACGAGGCTGTCGAAACCACATAAAATCGTTCGAGCACAAAAGATACGAATTTGACACAGAACTTTCGAAATACATATGGAAATTAAAGAACGCTGGGAAAGATTACGGAATCAAGTGGTCAATCTTGAAACGAGCTCCGTCGTATTCGGCAGGTGGAAAGCACTGCAGTTTGTGCACCGAAGAAAAACTGTGCCTTTTAAAGGCAAATAAAGCTCTTAATCGAA